TAGCTTTCTGACTTCTGCCGGGACTGCAGAGGAATAGCTACTGTTCCCAAAAGTGTGCAAATGGCATAATGGCATATCACCTGCCTGCGGTACACAATGTTACCAGCTTAAAACCCTTTACAAACATATTTTTTTGATGTTGTTACTATCACTATAAAATAAGCTATTTACTTTTTCATTGGTGTACCAGTGAATCATGTCATCATTCTGCCCTTCAGTTGAAATGCAAAGGTTTCATCTTAGCTTTTAAGCAGCCACTAATTGGAGCTGCAGTAAAACCCTTTTATCACAAATGACTTGTGAAAAAAAGAAAGAAAGAAAAATAAATGGCTCATGTAAAAAAAATGTAATTAAAAATATTGTGTTGGGTTTTGAACCGATGAAACGTAGTACATCAGTCAAATGTTATGGCTACCACACTACTGTAACTAAAGCTACTGCACAATTTTATTAAACCAGACCTGAAAAAAATGCGAGAAGGGAATTTATATTTCAAAGCTGGCTGTTGTCTGTAAATATATGTGCATGTTGATGCTCTAACTTTAACGTTCTAACTTCGTATAGACATTTGATGTAACCTTGCATACAGAGAAACAAGCATAAAAAGATGTATCTGGAGTATGGCTCATCCAGAGAAAGGTGATAGGGCATTAGTACCTTCCTGGCTCTGAAGGTGGGAGGGTGCAGCAACAGGGAAGTTGTCCATTAGGGAGACAGACCAGCTGAGCAGCAAAATCTCTGGATTGAACCCCTAGAAAATGAGATCAGTTTAAGAGTACAATGTGGACACGCCCTTAGAATTGTCACACAGTCAAAATCTATGTCTGCTTAGGATTTAAGGATGGTCGCAATGCCTCGAATTCCATCAAAGCAATGGTGAATGAAATATAATAAAATGTATTGAATCAGATCAATTAACAGTGCATCTTTTTCTTCAAGTGGGGTTTTTGTTAAGATGCTTTGGCTGGAGGTGCCAGGAATTCAACATGAGACTTGGAGAGACAAACCTCCTAGATTGAGTTGCTGAAGAACAGCCCGTGTCTTCTCATTTTCCTCCTTGGGCTCCACTAAGAAGGCTATTTCTAACAAAGATTCCCCTGATAGAGTTTAATCTAGTGTTTATCAGTCTGGGGAGTTTTCGGAATTGAAGTCCATACATCTTAAAGTTGCTGAGGTTGAGAAATGCTGGTTAACCTTATCAATCTGATCTTAGCAATATCAACTAAGGCTGATGAACAAAGCTAATAAAATAGAAGCAACTGATTCAAGCAGAACAGCTTAAAGAAAATGGCAACGTCTACCACCCACCATCTTCCTTTTTGAAGCTGTCCTTTAAAATTAATTCTCAAATGTTTCATGATCATTCAACTTAGCTGAGATCCTAAAATGATCTATGGGGGAGTTGGGAATTGACTTTTAAGAACTAATAACAAGGTTTTTGATTCTTTGTATCCCACATGCAGTTCATTTTAAGGTATTTGTCAACTCCCACTAGAATAATGTTGTTCCATAAATGGGATTTTAATTCTATTTACTCCCTATTTATATTATTTAATATTTTAAAGAACATCCTATTCCTCTTGCCATTTTCACCCTCACACCCCAGAGTGGTATGTAGGAAGCAGGGAACGAATCCAGAAAAACAGAATAATTGTGTTTCTCAGCTTACAACATACATGGAGCAATTTATTTTATCCAGCTAGAAAGAAGAAAACAAAAATTATTCTGAAAATTAAAGTCCCAACAATCTACTTCAAAATTTCATTCTGTATGAACAGATAAGTATTGTTTATAATGTTTTAAGCTTCACGGCAAAGAGAGTCGAAAGAACTGACAAAATAAACTGGACAAATTTAATAGCTTATTGCTTATTATGCTACATGTACAAATATAATTGGAGGTTGAGGTCCATAAAAAATCATGCAAGAAATATTGAGGGGAGAGGGAATAACCGCTATTCTTTGGGTTCTCCAAGGACTAAAACTGCTATATCCTGATTTCTAATAATCATTCTAAATGGAAATGAATTGGTTAATAAAATGAAAATATTTTATCTCTTTTTCAGCCTTTTCCCCCAGGTGGGATTATATAGCAGTACCACTTAATTGGGTTTCCTACAATAACAACCCTGAAGCGGGGGGGGGGGAGAATGACTGCCCCTAACACCTTGAATAAATCTCTACACCTCAAGCCTCAATCCGTTTAGTTGCTATTCAAAATACGTACTGATTCTTCCAGTGGAAGAGAGGGAGGGGTCACGTGTGACTCCATCTCCAACCCCTCCAGCGGGAGCTCATCCCCTTTCAAAAGAAGAGGATGAGCAACGCTCTTCGGATGCTCCGCCTCCCCGCGGGAGTCCAAGCCTCCCTGAAGTGGTGGCTCTCTCCTGCCCTTCAATGGGGCTACTCCTTTTGGGAGCTGGACAGAGTGACTGTGACCACGGACGCAAGCCTGTTTGGTTGGGGGGCTCTGATGGACTCCAGGCTAGCGCAGGGACGGTGGACTGCCTCAGACCTCCGACACAACATAAATTGGTTGGAACTGAAGGCAGCGCGCCTGACCCTACAACACTTCCGGACGTCTGTAGAGGGCCATCACATGCTTCTCCTGATGGACAACATGGCCACGAAGGCCCACATAAATCATCAGGGAGGGACTCACTCTCAGGCTCTCTGGCTGGAGGCCCTAAGGATCGGTGCCTGGGTGGAACGGCATCTGTCGTCCCTGGTGTTGGAACACATCTTTGGCCTGTTCAACAGGAGGACTGGCTGTGTCAGGCGACCCTGGACAACGGCGAGTGGCAGGTCCACCCGAACCTGTTTTGGGAGATCTGTCGGAGGTTTGGCACCCCTCTTGTGGACCTTTTCACCATGCTGGCCAATTTGCACTTGCCGAGATTCTTCACCCGATTCCAGAGCCAGTCTGTGGAGGGCACAGATGCCCTGCGAAGCAGGTGGCCTCCGGGCCTTCTCTATCCCTTCCCTCCTATTCCCCTCATCCCTGGGACCCTCAGGAAGGTGGTAGCGGAGAGGGCCCTAGTGATTGTCGTAGCTCCTTATTGGCCCAGGAGGCCCTGGTTCACAGATCTAGTCCAGCTGTCAGTGGCCCCTCCATGGAGGATTCCGCGGGAGGAGATTGTCTTGCGCCAAGGGGTCTTGATCCACCCGGAGCCCCAGTGGCTCCAGCTGACCACCTGGCTCTTGAATGGTGACTCCTAAGGAAGGCTAACCTGTTCTCTGGGGTTATACGCACCATCGAGGCTTCTAGGTGCCTGTCGATGACCCAAATTTACAATTCCACCTAGGCTGCCTTCATCAGGTGGTGTTCCTAACTAGACATTGACCCAGCTAGGGCTACAATTCCTAATGTCCTGGACTTTCTGCAGAAAGGCCTGGACGAGGGTCTGTCACACAACATCCTACATCTACAGGTGGCGGCTCTGTCTTTGGTCTTGGGGGGGGGGACTTCTTCCCTCTCTCACATTCCTCTAGTCAAGCGTTTCCTTAAGGGGGCGGCCAATCTCAAGCTGCCTCCTATCCACAGGTTCCCTACCTGGGATTTGCCCCTGGTTCTCTGGGCTTTGACGCCCCCCCCCCCGTTAGAGCCACTCCGGTCTGTTCATTTGAGATTCCTGTCCCTTAAGATAGCTTTTCTACTCAAAATTTACACTACTGGTTCTCTAAAACTGATCACAACCTGCTGAATCCCACCTCTGATTAACAGGCCTGGCCAACCACAAAGATAAACCTCAACTCCTCTGTTAACAATCTATGGTTGTATTTAACTTGCAGAAAGGCAGAAGTGGGTTCTGCTCTCTCATAAACCCACTACAACAGTCCTCTCCATCCAGGATCAAATACGATCAAATGATTCTTGACAATAAAAAACAGTTCCCAGGTTATCATCTTTGCTTGTCTTTAAAATTATGAGTGGAATTTTTTTCAAACAACTGTTTCTCACTCTCCTAAAAAACATCTCCATTGAGAATATCTCCATAATACTCAACAAATCTTCTCACAAATTGGGACCCAATGTGTCCTAAGAGCTGAAGTGGCGCAGTGGTTAGGGGTGCAGTACTGCAGGCCACTTCAACTGACTGTTATCTGCAGTTCAGCGGTTCTAATCACACCGGCTCAAGGTTGACTCAGCCTTCCATCCTTCCGAGGTGGGTGAAATGAGGACCCAGACTGTGGGGGCGNAACTATAGCAAGTTTGAGCCTTTCTGACCTGGCTATAGCAATATAGCACTTAGACTTATATACCACTTCATAGTGCTTTACAGCCCCCTCTAAGCGGTTTACAGGGTCAGCCTATTGCCCCCAACAATCTGGGTCCTCATTTTCCCCATCTCGGAAGGATGGAAGGCTGAGTCAACCTTGAGCCAGTGAGATTTGAATTGTCGAACTGCAAGTAACATTCAACTGCAGTCTAAACACTGAGCCACCTCGGCTCTATACCACTGTTTAGTGTTCAAAAGTGGATTAACATTTACAGGATTAGAAACAACTTCTGGACAAAGACTCTTCTTTTTTGTTGTAACCCATTGTTACCTAGTTCACTGGTCCCCAACCTTTCCAGCTTGGTAGAATTGCAAGGGGGGATGATTCTGTGAGAACGACAGGTGCATGGCTGAATGTGGAGCTTTACGGACTAGCATGATTACCTTCCACTCGCACAAATGGAGCTTCGCACACATGCCCCCCCCCCACTGCTTGTGCAGCCCAATTCCAAGTGGGCTGCAGCCCAGTAGTGGGCCGTAGTTCTGGTGTTGGGGACCCCTGATCTAGATACCTGTAATGTCATTCTGAACACTTTACTAGCTTCTAGTTGTTCAATTAATTGTATTAAACATGTTTCTAATGTCATTATTTCTTCAAACAAATAAAACTTTCTAGTTTTATTTTTTACACATGAGCAGCCTATAATTTTAATAAAGTGGCTAAAATGAGTTTTACTATTCATATTAGCATATTGTAATAAAATAACTGGACAGGTCTTACTTGATCCCTTTTCTTTTCCATCTCTGATATTTCTTTGCTAAGTTCCTTCACTTTCTTCCCATTTTCAGTCATCTCTTCTTGAAGTTTTGAAATGCTGTTTTCCATCTCCTTCAGCACATCAGCAGAATGTCCCTTGGTTTCTTCAGCTATTGTAAACTGATACGCCACATACAGACGGTTCAGATGTTCTATCTCTCTCACAACTTTTTGGTATTCCAAATAGGAGGATCGTTCCTGGTTAGGCAAATAAAATAATGCATCATTGACAGCTACAGCAAGCCATAATATACAGGAAGTCTTCCATTTACAAGAGTTTATTTAGTGACAGTTCAAAGTTGCAACAGCACTGAAAAATGACATGTGACCATTTTTCACACTTCTGACCATTGTAATATCCCTATCATCACAACAGAGGTGGTATTCAGCAGGTTCTGACCAATTCTGGAGAACCGTAGCAGAAATTTTGAGTATTACCTCTGACTGGCCCTGCCCCCATCTATTTTCTGTCTCCCAAGTCCCAGCTGATCGGGAGGGAATGGGGATTTTGCAGTAACCTTCCCCTCGAGTGGAAAGGGAATGGAGATTTTACAGTATCCTTCCCCTACCATCCATACCAAGCCACGCCCACAGAACCAGTAGTAAAACATCACATAAGCAAAATTCACTTAACAAATGGAACATGAAAGGCTGTAAAATGGAGCAAAACTCACTTAACAACTATCTTGCTTAGCAACAGATGTTTTGGGCTCAATTGTGGTCATAAGTTAAGGACAACCTTTATTTCATTAGAATACAGGTAGTCCTCAACTTACAACCACAATTGAGCCTAAATTTCCGTTGTTGAGACATTTGTTAAGTGAGTTTTGCTCTGTTTTACAACCTTTCTTGCCCCAGTTGTTAAGTGAATCACTGCAGTTGATAAGTTAATAATAGCAATAGCACTTAGACTTGTATACCGCTTCACAGTGCTTTTACAGTCCTCTCTAAGCAGTTTACAGAGTCAGCATATTGCCCCCAACAATCTGGGTCCTCATTTTATCGACCTCAGAAGGAGGGAAAGCTGAGTCAAACTTGAGCCTGATGAGACTTGAACTGCCAAACTGATGGCAGCCGGTGATCAGCAGAAGTAGCCTGCAGTACTTCACTCTAACCACTGCACCACTGTGGCTCCACCAGTAACCTGGTTGTTAAGTGAATCTGGCTTCCCCATTGACTTTGCTTGTCAGAAGGTCATCACAAAAGATGATCACATGACCTTGGGACACAGCAACGGTCATCAATATGAACCAGTTACCAAGCATCTGCACTTTGATCACATTATCATGGAGATGCTGCAAAGGTCGTAACTGTGAAAAATGGTCATAGGTCATTTTTTGCAGTGTTGTTGTAACTCTGAATGATCACTAAAACTGTTTTAAGTCAAGGACTAGCTGTATGACAGAATAGCTGTTCTGCATAAAAGAAACTGACAGATTCCTTCTCTTTCTTGCGGTTCTCCACCGTTGCTCAGATGATGATGAATCGAAGGAAAGGGGGAAATTTTTATTGCATAAATACTTTTCCACTTTCATATTTTTGGATTTTGCCCATGGGTGCAATAGAAATGAAATGCAAAGTCTAATCTCATTGAATCAAATTATTTCAGAATTTCCATTAGCAAGCTAGGATTTGTAACTTGCTTAATAGTAAATCACGCTGAATTCAGTAGCATTAATAGCTGTATAATAAGAGATAATGTTCTTTGCTTTTGATTGAGGTTGCTTGAACACAATGAATTAAATAGTTAATTTAATAGTTAAATAGACAATAGTTTATAATGCTGCACACTATCAGTTTGTAGGACTAAATCTAATCAAAGATGGAGTTTTGTAAACTGTTTAGTTTAAACTGTAAATACCTCTTTCAGTTTTTGCAAAGTGGGTGTGATTTCTTCCTCTAAAATCTGTAAATAAAAAGCAAGATGTACTTAATTTTTCTATTCTCAAATTGAACCACAGCAACTTTGTTTTCTTAAGAAGATTAATCCAAATATAGGATCAAGTAACCATAATGTACCGTGCAAATTTCTTTGAGTTTTGCTTCTTTTTTCTCAATAGTTTTTTGTGCTGCAAGTTTCTTACACTCATACATTCTTGTGCCAGCTGCTTCTTCAATCATAGCCAATATCTAGAACAGCAGTAATAAAAAATATAATACAACCACAGATCAAGCTGTTTAAAAGATAAGAATCATATTAATAGAAAGTCATGCTTACCTCTGGAGGCTTCATATTGAGTACTTTGGTAATTCGGCCCTAAGATAGAAAGGAAAATAGCCAGCCATTAATATCTTAGTATTTTAAAGGCCTTATAATAATCTACATATAGTGAATTATGGTGCTTATTTCCTTTGGAAGAGAAAGGAGCATCTAGAATGAGACAAAAATTATCACAGCACATTTGGAACAAAACAATTGGGCAGGATGGTAGCTCATGGAAAGCTTTGTTACTATGTTTTTCCACCTATAGTTTTACAAGATGATCAGAGATATCCCTGCAATATCCTTTTTGACACTAGAGGCATGCAACCAATTGTAACCAATAAAGAAAGAACAAGATATCATATGTTTAATTCTGGGCTGAATTAATTAGGTTAAGCTAATTAGGTTTTGACAAGGAAAGGTGAGTTTAAAAACAGGAGAAGGGCATATTAAATTTGATTTGATTTGATTTTATTGGACTTATATGCCGCCCTATTCCCAGAGGGACTCAGGGCGGCTCACAAACCAAAGGTAGGGGATACAGACAAGAGGAAAAACAACAAACAAGCAACTACAGAAAGAATTTAAAAACAATCAACAGCCACACAATTCGAGCGGGGACGGGAACTTGTCAGCCCCAGGCCTGTCGGAACAGCCAGGTTTTAAGGGCTTTGCGGAAAGCCTGAAGGGTGGTGAGGGTCCGAATCTCCATGGGGAGCTCATTCCAGAGGGCCGGAGCAGCAACAGAGAAGCCCTCCTCTGGGTGGTAGACAATCGGCATTGGCCAATAGATGGGATTCGGAGGAGGCCTAGTCTGTGGGATCTAATAGGTCTGTTGGAGGTAATTGGCAGCAGGCGGTCTCTCAAGTACCCAGGTCCAATACCATGAAGGGCTTTATAAGTGACGACTAGGACCTTGAAGCGTATCTGGAAACCAATAGGCAGCCAGTGCAGCTCGCGGAGGATAGCTGTAACATGTGTGTACCGGGGTGCACCCACAATCGCTCGCGCGGCTGCATTCTGGACAAGCTGAAGTCTCCGAATGCTCTTCAGGGGCTGCCCCATGTAGAGCGCATTGCAGTAGTCCAGTCTTGAGGTCATAAGGGCATGAGTGACTGTTGCAATGGCCTCCCGGTTCAGGTAGGGACGCAATTGGTGCACCAGGCGAACCTGGGCAAATGCCCCCCTGGTCACAGCTGACAAATGGTGTTCTAAAGTCAGCTGTGGGTCAAGGAGGACTCCCAAATTGCAAACCCTGTCTGAGGGGCGTACAATTTCACACCCCAGCCTGAGAGATGGAATACTTGGCCAATTGTTGGGAGGGAAACACACAAGCCACTCGGTCTTGTCAGGATTGAGTGCAAGCTTGTTTACCTCCATCCAGACCCTCACAGCCTCCCGGCACTGACACATCACGTCAACCACTTCACTGAGTTGGCACGGGGCGGACAGATACAATTGTGTATCGTCCGCGTACTGGTGATATTTTATCCCGTGCCGCTGAATGATCTCACCCAGCGGCTTCATGTAGATGTTAAACAGGAGGGGGGACAGGACCGAACCCTGCAGCACCCCATACTTAAGGGGCCTAGGGGTCGATCTCTGCCCTCCAACCAACACCAACTGCGACCTGTCCGAGAGGTAGTACAACCACCGAAGAATGGTGCCTCCCACCCCCATCTCACGCAACCGTGATAAAAAGCACCACAAGTTTAAAATCTAGAAGAACAATACAATTTTAAAAAAGGAAGGTTATGAACATATATACTTCATTACCTGCATAATAAGAAAATGAGGATTATTGACATTCAATCCAACAGAGCAGAAGAGATCTTGTACTCTGGTATTGTTTGCATTGACACCATTGATTAAGTATTTATTTCTGCCTCCAATCACCACCTTAAAAATGAATGACAAAGGACTATTAGCATGTATCATCTTATCATCTCAAACAAATTAATATTTAGCATATACTGTTTTAAAAATGACCTAACTTCAAAACTATTTAGAAAAAAGAAATCAAGGTTTTCATTTTTTCTACTTGAACCAATTTTTAAAAATACTGTAAGGACACCCTTTACAGAAATGTTTAAAACATTATTACATTGGCTCACCTGTCTTGTGACTGTTATCTCATCATGATTCTCAAATCCTAGTGGACTCTGCTTCTTATCAAAATTATCAAAAGTGATAGAAACAGAAGCCTTAGTAATTCCAGCCTGCCCATTTTTGTAAACAAGATCTTGCAAGTTGGAAGCTCTCACCTAAAATGAATTTTAAGACAAAATGATATCACTAAGAAAAACAGATAGGGATGCTTGGGTTATAGGATTGCATCATAAAATAAATGTACTGATTCTATTAAAAACAAATATTATGCTCCTGCATAAACCTTTTGTACATTTTACATGTATTGTCAACCCATCATTCCAATCTACAATTCAGTTCACTCAAGAGAGACCGGGTAAACCGATTTTAAGGGATGTGGTATAGGCAAAACTTATTATAAAAGTTTATCGGAGTCTGTCCTTCTCACAATATTATGTTTATAAAAAATATTTATGAATAGGCCCATGGCCAAAATTCAACTGAATTTTTCCCCAATGTTATACTTTTATCAGATGAATTTGCCAAGTTAAATTATCATTCTCTTGCAAATAAAGATCAATATACATTATCAGGATTTATGTTGAATTTTAAGAAGAGAACTCTCCTAAAATATACTTCAGAGCTAGTCCAAGAGGCAGTAGTAAACATGCTAAGAGCAGGATTTTTTAAAGGTAGCCAATATTTGAGAGATATGTACTTACCTGTGACAGATTGGTGATTCCCAATAAAAAACAAATGGAGTCCAGGATATTTGATTTGCCACTTCCATTTAAGCCAGTAATAGCATTGAATAGAGGGTCAAAATCATTAACCTCTGTCCTCTGAGCGTAAGACTTAAAACCTTCAAGAACAATTGACCTGATGTACATTTCTGCTTATTTTCCTATAAATTACAAATATATTCACCTCCAACCTATAAAACAAACATTTGTTCCATTATTCAATAGATCATTTCTATATAAATGGATCATATACATCATCTTGATACAAAAAAAGCAAGATCACAAATTAAGTCCCACTGACTTCATCATTATTAGACCTCCCATATTATGTGGGAACAATTAATATTTGCTTTGTAGCCCAGAGAATATATATGAGGAATTGACAGCGTATCTTTAAAAAAAACACCATTTGACAAAAATGTATCTCAATATGAGTAACAAGCTTATATTAATTATCCTCGTTGAGACAAAACCCACAAAATTCTTGGTACTATTTAGGTTGCAGCCCACACTCTTGTTTATGAGTAAATGCAGTTAGAATAAACAGGTAGTCCTTGACATGATCACAATTGAATCCAACATTTCTGTTGTTAAGTGAAGCATTTGTTTCATAAACAATTTGGACCCATTTTACGGCTTTTCTTGCCCCAGTTGTTAAGTGAATCACTGCAGTTGGTAAGTTAGTAACACAGTTAAGTGAATCTGGCTTCCCCATTGACTTTGCTTCTCAAAAGGTTGCAAAAAAGGGATCCCAGGACCTAAGGACGCTGCAATGGTTATAAGTATGAACCCATTGCCAAGCATCTGAATTCTAATCACATGACCACGAGGATGTTGCAATGGTCCTAATTGTGACAAATGGTCACATGTCACTTAGGTGTGTGACGCTGCATCTAGATGAGCTAAATAATAAAGATCCCTATCTTCAAAACACAAAACTTGCAATAAGACATTTTAGATATTTTCCAAACTGCCTACCCGGTATAAGCCAAACAATTGACAAACAAAAACTATAGATCCATCCACGTCTGGCATACCCCGCCCTGCCTTTAAAAGTTTCTACTACGGGTTATTTTTTTCTATAAAAGGGAATCCGAATTGGATTTAATCGGATTTATGTCGACCTAAAAGTCCCTTGATTGATAGTCTAAAAGTGTCCTTTGATTAGTTTAAGATGCGGCGGGAGGAAGCAAAACAAAAAACAAAAACCCTGGCGGATATTTGGGCCCCTAATAATTTAGGAGACTCCGATTCCCCTCAAACGGCATTAGTCCTCACCGCCAGGCAGGGCTGCTTTCCTTCCCAACCGACTTGACCAGCAGCCGCTCCAGCGCCTTTTCCGCTTCGTCCGCTTGAATTTGGCGCGGGGGTCCTTTTGTTCCGTTCCGCGCAGAAGTTCAACTTAGGGCTGTCCCGCATATTGCCTGATTTATTTATTTTTTTGCTTCGTCAAGAAATCGAGTGAGTCAGGCAATTTAGAGAGGCTACCCAATGAGGAAAAACAACCTGACGGGCTCCTAAGCTCCATTTCACGCAGCAACGCGATTGGTGGGAAAGAATTAGACTCAAGCGGAGGGGCCCCGAGAAATTAACAGAGCACGCTTACTTTCTCAGGCCCCGCCCTCCATTTGGATTTAAAGCGGCAGTAACTCCAGAAACTGTTACATTTTGCAAGGAGGGAATATGCCTGTGGTTGGAGCCCTGAATTAGATGAAGCTGTAGTTTCAGAGGGCTGCCTTATTTTTTTGTTAACCCCCAAGTTTCTTTTTTATTATTATTGTATTTTACCATGATCATGTGACCAAAATTCATGCACTTGGTTCATTCTTATGACAGTTGCAGTGTCCTGGAGTCCAGATCATAGTTATTAAGTAATGGAAGTTACTCCAGCTAACATTTTAAAGAGAATGTTACAGGTAGTCCTTGACCTACTATGATTGAGTCCAAAATTTATAATTATTAAGTGAGACATTTGTTAAGTTTAGAATTTTGCCCCATTTTACGACTTTTCTTGCCACAGTTAAGTGAATCACTGCAGTTGTTAAATTAGGAACACGGTTGTGAATCTGGCTTCCCCATTGACTTCACTTGTCAAAAGGTTGCAAAGGGGGATCACGTGATTCCCAGGGATGCGCAACTGTCATAAGCATGAAACAGTTTCCAAGCACCTGAATTTTGGTCACATGATCATAGGGATGTTACAAAGGTAGTAACTGAACAATGGTCATAAGTCACTTTTTTCAGTGCCTTTGTAACTGAACAGCCATTAAGTGAACTGTTGTAAGTCAAGGACTACCTGTATTTTTCAGGTTGTAACCCGTTTCGTGTTAACGGGGTTAAGGATTGGAAATTTTACTTTTGTAAACTATAAGAAGCACCTGCTGAAGAACTATTTTTTCCTTTTAGAAAAATAAACATTTTGGGCAATAAGGATAAGAGTTGGGCAAAGATTAAGAAAATTACATCCTAAGAACTGTAAGTCCATTTTAAGATAAAGCACAATGGTGATATGGGCTTTATTTCAGAACGCTGTTTTTTATTAGAATATAGATCTTTTAAAAGTTTTCCTTAGTTTTGCTTTTTAAAGCAGAGATGTTAGCATAAACTATTTTTTAAAATAAAAATGTGAACTTCTTTCAGAGTTTCCCCATTTTCAGGTTTATCTCTCTTTTTTGCAAATAAGTGTCATTTGTCCCCATTAGTGACATGGATTAACCTCAAAAGCTAGTGAGGCTGGAATTGGTTATTGGCTGAAGGCAAGGCAGAGGCATATCATTTAAGTAATATTCCCAGGAAAATGAATGCTTAGCTCTTGTTTAATACATCCATAATTATTCAGTTATTAACTTTCCTGGCTATAGTGAAATAATTGGATTTGAGACCTGTGTTGCATCTACTGCTAGATTTGCAAAAGTGCAAGACTTAGAAGGACCCTTGTTCTTTTTGTGCTAGCCCAGTGTTTCTCAACCTTGGCAACTTGAAGATGTCTGGACTTCAACTCCCAGAATTCCCCAGCCAGCAAACACTGGGCTAGCCAAAATGTTTTTGCCCACTTTGTGCACCAGTTGATTATGTTTGCTTATTTCATCTGTCTTGGGCTTTTTTCCCCCAGCTAAAAGGATTAGGGTTATCAATCAATAGTTGACAATTACCTCTGCCAATGTATTCACCCATCCACAAATCACAACAAGGACATCACTTCAATTGGTAATACTCCCATAATAGGCAAAAAAAAATATTTCAAACTTTTTGGAACACCTTAAAAGGTGGCTTTTCCCCTAGGCTTTGGAGCAGGATGAGGCTGGAGCCCAGTGATTGATATTCCTTAGGTACTGAAGGGTATTGTTTTAGGGAGCTGGGGGGGGGGGGAGATGGTTTTTAATTTTTTTTATGGTTACCACCAGTGGCGGGATTCAATTTTTTTACTACTGGTTCTGTGGGCATGACTTGGTGGGTGTGTCAGGGGAAGGATACTGTAAAATCTCTAATCCCTCCCCACTCTAGGAGAAGGTTACTGCAAAATCCCCATTTCCTCCCCATCAGCTAGGACTCAGGAGGCAGAGAATAGATGAGGGCAGAGCCAGTCAGAGGTGGTATTTATTGGTTCTCCAAACTACTTAAAATTTCTGCTACCGGTTCTCCTGAACTGGTCAGAACCTGCTGAATACCACCTCTGGTTACCACTGTTGCTATGAGTCATATCTTTATGGCTCACTAGATGGGCAACCATATTAAGTCTAAATACAAATATTTTTACACTAATAACAGTTAGCAAAAAAGGAACAAGGGACCAGAGAATTTAGTTCACAGTTTTGTAGCATAAGTGTGTAATCAGATTCTTGAATTATATGTGCTGTGTCCAAATCTCAGGATGGTTATTTAGTTACATCTGTTTGTTTATTGTATATGCTATTTAGTCTAATGTTGCCTCTCTACCTTCTTTATTATGTGTGTGTGTGTGTATGTGTGTGTGTGTATGTATGTATGTATGTATGTATGTATGTATGTATGTATNATATAAATCTAACTGCTATTGCTATTGCTATTGCTATTGTCCTGGCAGCCACTGTCTACTTGCACATGATGTCTTCATTCTGCAAACTCAAAATGGTAAGTTTTTCAAATCCAGTCAGATCTCTTCCTACTTCGGTTTGCTTCTGTAATTCTTTTTGGACTACTGTATGTGATAGTAGATATTGAAACCAAGGGGTGATACTAATTATATACTAGCAATAGCATTCAAAAATAGTATTTTGTGGTAAAGATGGATCATGTTTACATTTGGGCATTATTGTGTAGAATAAGGGAAGAAGTATATAAATAGTTCCTCAATGTTTTGGAAAATAGATTGAAATCTGAGATTTCCTGATCTAATACTTAATCTAAAGATGAGCAAACCACATCCTAAATGATAATCCATGATAATCCAATAGCAATATTTTGGTACTATCTTCCTTTGAATATGTACATATATGTACCCTGTTTCCCCAAAAATAAGACCTCCCCGGATAATAAGCTCAATTGGGCTTTTGAGCGCATGCGCTAAAATAAGCCCTCCCCTGAAAATAAGCCCTCCCTGAACATATTGCAACACAGCAGCAGCCATGAGGTGACCAGGCTCGCCATCTCCTGCACCTCAAAAAGAATAAGACCTCCCCAAAAATAAGGCCAAGCACTTATTTGGGGGTCAAAAGAAAATAAGAACCTGTCTTGTTTTTGGAGAAACACTGCATGTATGTATGTATGTATGTATGTATGTATGTATGTATGTATGTATGTATGTCTTTAATGTTAAAGAATTCATTTTTCACCATTAGAAGTGTACCATTTTAGAGAAGTATAATGTACCGACTTTAATGCACTAGTTGTATTCCTCACACTTTGCTTGACTGCCACTCCCGTTCATTCCTAACTATTGGCTAAGTTTAACATAAGTTTGAGCCCATTAATATGTGGGAGCTGCATGTTTCCCATTTGTGCTTCAAGGCTTGTTTGGGGCTCTATTATTACATCATCTAGAGCTGGTCTTATCTACACTTAGATTCTTTCCATCATGGATATAAATGAAGCGAAGTTCAGCAATCACATTAGAGAGTTTTCTGCACCAACAGGACTCGCTTGTCTTTCTGAAGATGACCACCATCATAAAACCAAGTATTCATGTCTGAAAAAAGATTATGAAATAGAGTCATACAAGATTCTTTCTTCTTTAATGATGAAAGAATGGTAAATTAGTGAGAATTTGATTGAGAAACCCCTAGTTAATGCCATGTGTTATAGACCATGAAATGAGATTATCTGCATCCATTCTGAAGCTCATGAATTGATAGAGAAAAGAATAGCTAACAAAGCTAGTTAAAAGCTAGAAGATGGAAAAGAGGTGGCCTGAGATAATAAATAAAAATGGAAAAGGTAAATAATTAAGTCTTTGAACTGAATGAAACTGATTACATCAAGATGAGAATCATTACTTCTACTCAAGCATTGACAGAGCGAAAACCAAAAGGGCTGGCGTGCCAACTTGAAACATTTTTTCCAACTTTTAATTGGAAAATCTTCCCTGATGAATGTTGTTTGTGATTGGAATGGAAAATGTGGCTAGGTCTTCTAGGGATCAACTTTTAAAAAGGAAAGAAAAGGAATGAGGTTCACAACACAAAGACATGACAGGCGACCAATAAATTGTAACCAAGTGCAGGAATGAGCAGACAACGTCCTATCCCTAGACAAAAGAAAACCAGGAACCGAAGTGGTAGAGCAGGGAAAGAACATGAGAACCAAGGAGCCTTTGGGCTGCAGATAAAGTTCTGAAGAACTATCCAGCATCCATAGCCACTGTGTAGTCCCCCAGGAACATAGCAATGAGAGATGTGGTTCCAGCCTATTTTTTATAAGTTTTTGTCCAAAATTGCCAACGGAAGCCGAAGGGAGCAAGTTGCTAAAATCTTCCTGCTTGCAGCTGGGAGCCTGTTTGAAGTTTGAACTACTTGGAGAGATTTGAATGGGAGAAGAACACAGTGTGGTTTATGCCTGGATGGGGGTGGTAGACGGTTTAACTAATACTAACCAGTGAAAAGAGACGATTGACTGTGTCAAAAACTTAACTGGTTTACCCGTTTGCTTTGATGGAACTCTACAAAGCATGGAGAAAAATGCGTTGGCCCATTTTGTCCATACCATTTGCAAAAATACTACAAAGTCCTCCCAATGAATTATGCTCCACGAAAAGCACAACGAAATGAATAAAGATTTGAACAAGAGAAATTAATGAAAACTTAAAATTAAAAGATAGAGGTTTTTTTATTTACAATTCCTCAATTTAAATGTCTGTGTTGGAGAAATTCAA